CAGGGTGTTGGCCTTTGAGTTTGTCACCTCAAACACTTAGATTTGTTTTGTTACTAAGTTTCTATTATGTACCCTAAGTTTATTAAATTGATTTTTTAAAATCATACTGGGCATTTACCCGGTATGCCTGATGGTGATTTTTAGTTTTTATGGGCCGATGTTTGTTTTTTTTCTCTTTTTTTTCTCGGAATGGTATAAAAACTGAAAGGTGGTGGATTGACCAGTTGCTGGGAAAAATAACTCAGTTGTTTAGCGGTGGGTATTGCGGAACTTCCACAGATTCATTAACATTAGCAAGTGGTGAAGCCCAGCAGGTGGATGAGGGAAAGGTGAGGCAGGACGAAGAGAGACCTGAGACGGCCGCCAGTCCGAGTATCAGGTGAACTGAACTTCAGGTGAGAAGTTATGACCTGCAGTCTATCTGGGTCAGATATGAACCAAGTTTAGGTGGAGTTTATTTTTGTTGTGCTGACTTTTTACCGTCAGTTACAATAACTTGTACTGCGTACTAGCTAGCATGACGGAGTTTCTATAAAGCTGGATGGGTGCTATGATGTTACTGATAGTGAACTTTATTTTATTCACAAGGTTAGTTATTAGAGTTTTCAACTGTCCCATAAAAAACGGAATCGTCGAGCATTCAGAAAAAATATTACGCGTTTCTTACTGAGCTGAAAGGAAACACAGTTTGTCCCGTACTTCAGCTAGAATGGAAAAGACACAAAGCTGGAGTTATTCTGTGTATTTATGCTGTCAGCTGTTTCTTCTTCTCTCATTCTCTCCCCTCCCTCTTCTGTTGCTACTTCAATCGACTTTTCTCTCTTGTTTGTTTATCGCTCACTTTGCCTAAGAAAGAGGAAACCAGCGGATAAACAACAGCAGCACGATTAAACTTGATCAGCTGTTGTTAGAATTAATTTATTATTACTTTCTAGTATCAGCTGAGGTTTGCTGGAGCCACAGCTGTAAAGCTGCTGGTCATGATATCAGTTTGGTTATGTGGTGAGAGGGAAACATGAAGATGAAACTGAATCATCAGAGCTGAACAGGTGATGGAGAAACAGGTTTACCTTTTAGGTGACATGAATGAGTTGAAGGGAAGTTATGAACTGTTTCTGAGAGACAAATAACACCAGGATCCTTTTCTAAGTAGCTGACAGCTGGTAACTGTGCAGGGGCGGATCTAGCAAAGTTTTGCCAGGGGGCCAGTTAGGGCATTAACAGGGAGAGGGGGGCACAAATAAATACTTTTCTATCTTATTCTCCCTTTCAACATGTAAATGAATCAGAACTGTAGTTATATTGAAATGTATTGACTTTTTTATAGTATTTTTCTCTCTCTTATTTTCTTTATTAAATGTACCTTTATATATTTGACATAAATTAAAAACAACAACAACATTTAAAATGTCTAGCTTTAATAAATAATTATCTGAATCTTAAAACCTTAGTCATGTGATGTCAAATGTATAGAAATCTGTTATTGTATATAGTAATTTTTTTCAGGGTCCCATCATAATTTCTTCAGAAGTAGCTAAGTACTGTATATGATGCCAGCATTTTCCCACATTTTCTAGATTCTGCACCAGTACTGTGTGTAAAATGCCATCAAAAAGTCAAAAAGTCAGTCCAGCCCTGGTGCAATCATGACTGTAGCAGATGTACAATGATGTTACCCATTCAGAATTAGGGCTTTCTGACTGTAGATTTTTATACTGTGGCTGGCCATGTCTGGCAGACTCTGGCAAATGTCACTGTGCAGTTTTACATTAAACACTTTGCGCTGTGTTGTTTCCTCTTTCAGGCCAGGAAATCATCACAACTGAGACTGAACAGGATGTTACTCTGCCATGTCAAGCTCCAGACAACATCATAGGTATAGAGTGGAGCAGACCTGATCTAAATGAGGAATATGTCCTTTTGTATCGGGATGGGCGGTCCGATCCAAAACACCAGCATCCATCTTTTGTGAACCGGGTGTATCTAAAAGACGGAGATGCGTCTTTGATTCTGAAGAATGTTACGACTGCTGATACAGGCAAATATGAATGTCGTGTGAGGACAGGAACAAGCCGCAGGAAGAGAGCGTATCTGGAAATTGATCCCGTCAGTATAATATATCTGAGAGTTGTTGATCCTCCAGGTGAGTGAGTAGAGTTGAGTGTGTGTGTGATCAGAGGTGAAGCTGCTTCCTGGTTGTTGATGTTTGTTTCTAAAGATGTTGTTGATGAGACTTTGTAGAAAGCAGCTGGTCTGAGTGATGTGATCAGAGTGCAGTAGATAATGTCTGACAGCAGTTTGAAGAGGAAATGGATTCTGTTCTGTTCTTCACTCATCACCTACCTGACAGCTGACACCTCACACCTGTTTCTCACCTGCAGGAGCCAATACAAGAGAAGGATGAATTGAAAGAAACCGGACAAGAGAAGACAAGACTGATAGTTGGTCTGTCAATTTTTGCTGTGCTGCTTGTTTTTGTTGTTATTGTTGGTTTTCTGATCTACGGAAACCATAAAAAAAAGGAGAAGATGGATTCACACCGTCATCCTGCTGAACACCAACTAACCGGTCAACAGCTGAACTGTAAGTCTCTTCTTTCTGAGAGAGAGGAACAGCCTTGTGGGGTTTCAGTCTTGACCGCTGTTTGCAAGTGAGTGGAATAGTGCAAATGTACAAAGAAAAAATGCTAACAATTTAGTGGAGAAATTTAAAGTAGTGTTTTTATTTTCTTTTTTTGTTTTTTTTCTTTTTGTTCTTTCAGTGTTTGTTTTTACTTTTATCAGATGAAATGTGTTATTTCTCAAAATGCATGCTACAACCATTTGGCTAGCTCCTGTTCAGTTAGCTCAGATGAGTTTCGCATGTTGGATTCAACTGACTGCACTTTACCGCGGACACGATACAGTGTAACGACAAGTGCAACTGACTGCACTTTACCGCGGACACGATACGGTGTGACGACAAGTGCAACTGGCTGCACTTTACCGCGGACACGATACGGTGTAACGACAAGTGCAACTGACTGCACTTACCGCGGACACGATACAGTGTAACGACAAATGCAACTGACTGCACTTTACCGCGGACACGATACGGTGTGACGACAAGTGCAACTGACTGCACTTTACCGCGGACACGATACGGTGTGACGACAAGTGCAACTGACTGCACTTTACCGCGGACACGATACGGTGTGACGACAAGTGCAACTGACTGCACTTTACCGCGGACACGATACGGTGTAACGACAAGTGCAACTGACTGCACTTTACCGCGGACACGATACGGTGTAACGACAAGTGCAACTGACTGCACTTTACCGCGGACACGATACGGTGTAACGACAAGTGCAACTGACTGCACTTTACCGCGGACACGATACAGTGTAACGACAAATGCAACTGACTGCACTTTCACCGCGGACACGATACGGTGTAACGACAAGTGCAACTGACTGCACTTTACCGCGGACACGATACGGTGTGACGACAAGTGCAACTGACTGCACTTTACCGCGGACACGATACGGTGTGACGACAAGTGCAACTGACTGCACTTTACCGCGGACACGATACGGTGTAACGACAAGTGCAACTGACTGCACTTTACCGCGGACACGATACGGTGTGACGACAAGTGCAACTGACTGCACTTTACCGCGGACACGATACGGTGTGACGACAAGTGCAACTGACTGCACTTTACCGCGGACACGATACGGTGTAACGACAAGTGCAACTGACTGCACTTTACCGCGGACACGATACGGTGTAACGACAAGTGCAACTGACTGCACTTTACCGCGGACACGATACGGTGTAACGACAAGTGCAACTGACTGCACTTTACCGCGGACACGATACGGTGTAACGACAAGTGCAACTGACTGCACTTTACCGCGGACACGATACGGTGTAACGACAAGTGCAACTGACTGCACTTCACCGCGGACACGATACGGTGTAAAGACAAGTGCAACTGACTGCACTTCACCGCGGACACGATACGGTGTAACGAGAAGTGCAACTGACTGCACTTCACCGCGGACACGATACGGTGTAACGAGAAGTGCAACTGACTGCACTTCACCGCGGACACGATACGGTGTAACGAGAAGTGCAACTGACTGCACTTCACCGCGGACACGATACGGTGTAACGAGAAGTGCAACTGACTGCACTTCACCGCGGACACGATACGGTGTAACGAGAAGTGCAACTGACTGCACTTCACCGCGGACACGATACGGTGTAACGACAAGTGCAACTGACTGCACTTCACCGCGGACACGATACGGTGTAACGAGAAGTGCAACTGACTGCACTTCACCGCGGACACGATACGGTGTAAAGACAAGTGCAACTGACTGCACTTCACCGCGGACACGATACGGTGTAACGACAAGTGCAACTGACTGCACTTCACCGCGGACACGATACAGTGTAACGAGAAGTGCAACTGACTGCACTTCACCGCGGACACGATACGGTGTAACGAGAAGTGCAACTGACTGCACTTCACCGCGGACACGATACGGTGTAACGAGAAGTGCAACTGACTGCACTTCACCGCGGACACGATACGGTGTAACGAGAAGTGCAACTGACTGCACTTCACCGCGGACACGATACGGTGTAACGAGAAGTGCAACTGACTGCACTTCACCGCGGACACGATACGGTGTAACGAGAAGTGCAACTGACTGCACTTCACCGCGGACACGATACGGTGTAACGAGAAGTGCAACTGACTGCACTTCACCGCGGACACGATACGGTGTAACGAGAAGTGCAACTGACTGCACTTCACCGCGGACACGATACGGTGTAACGAGAAGTGCAACTGACTGCACTTCACCGCGGACACGATACGGTGTAACGAGAAGTGCAACTGACTGCACTTCACCGCGGACACGATACAGTGTAACGAGAAGTGCAACTGACTGCACTTCACCGCGGACACGATACAGTGTAACGACAAAGTGCAACTGACTGCACTTCACCGCGGACACGATACGGTGTAACGACAAAGTGCAACTGACTGCACTTCACCGCGGACACGATACAGTGTAACGACAAGTGCAACTGACTGCACTTCACCGCGGACACGATACAGTGTAACGACAAGTGCAACTGACTGCACTTCACTGCGGACACGATACAGTGTAACGACAAGTGCAACTGACTGCACTTCACCGCGGACACGATACAGTGTAACGACAAGTGCAACTGACTGCACTTTACCGCGGACACGATACAGTGTGACGACAAAGTGCAAGTGACTGCACTTAACTTCCATCCTTTTTGTTAAAGACTAATCAAAAATCATTTGGCTCCAAAAGTGAGCCACAGCAGTAAAAGTTATAGATCTTCCCATTTTGTGAAATTTAAACCACAGCACTTAGAATTAATTGTTCTTTCTGTTTACAATGTGGAAAATAACTGTGTACAATTTAATTCTAATAATTATTTTTACAATTTTTTTTTTTGCTTTTGTGCTGGAATTATAATTTTAATTTTTAAAATTTTAATTACATTGTTTTATAATTCTTTATTTAATTTTAATTTTAACGAAAACTTTTATTCAGTGTATCTTTTTTGGCATCTCATGTGTACAGCACTTTGTTTTCAGCTGGGCGCTGTTCTTAAGGTACTATATAAATAAATTGCTTGCTTGATTAAAAAGCCTGAAATGATTAAAAACGGATTAATCGTATCTTGCTATCTTCAGTGTATGTTGCTGCTTTGAGTTCAATTGAGAGTAAAGTAATTTCATGTTTATTTTAGACATTTGTGTATTTATTGTATGTCTTGGAAACAGAAAATCAGCTGAAAATAGCACAATAACTACAACTCCCCCTAAGAAGCTTCCATCTACAAATGGTAGCTGTCGCTGATTTTTTTTTTTTATAAAGTATTAGGAGCTCCAATACAAAGCGAAGTTTTAGCCAGTTAAAGTGTACAACATTACTCTGTTTCTTTATAATCTGTTACAACATATTTTAAAATTGAACTTGCTGCAGCAAAACTCTCAAATTCTGCTTCACTCAGGATTATGGTGAGATAGACATATATTCACTTGTCAGAATAAAAATGAACAAAAATGAGAAACTGTGAAGAACTGGACCTTTTATTCTTGCAAAGGAGCAAAAGCCTCTAATACAAGGTTTCAAGCAAGTGCTCGAGGGGAAAAGCCCCTAGTGACTTTTCATTACATTTTGTCAATCCGAAACTCGTTGGTGTATTTCCAGGCACTAAGTGTACCGAGTGTCTCCCCGACTGTTATACAGTTCACACTAATTCTAACATTGCATAACTTATTTTTTCCATCATCACTCTTTCCACATACAGTCCACGTAGATGTTAGTCAGCTTTTAAAGGCAATCATGACCTTTGATCAGAGCTTTCCTTTGTGGTTTTATTTCCTGCTGTTGTTTGAGGGGTCTGGCTGTGTGCCAAGCTAAGCTGAGCATAAACAAATCAAAAAGGTTTACTTATTAATAGTACCTCGGCAATTTTAAAGGCTGAAACTCTGAGAAAC